TCTTACTGACCAACCAGATGACCACCAAAGTCGACGACGCCTTGCCCTCCACCGCTCCCTCCCTCCCTCTCTCCACCTCCCTCCCTCCCTCCCTCGCCCCCACCTTGGGCGAGTCATGGGCCCCGGCTTCGGCGGTCCGCCTTCTCCTGTGGATGGACGGGGTAGGGGGCCTGGCAGGGCAGGGAGGGAGGGAGGGAGTACAGAGAGGGGGCGACGACCTGTCTTCTCTCCACGACCCCGTCCACGTCCCCCCTCTCTGTCACTCTACGGTGTCCTCCCTCCCTCCTACACTTCCCCCCTTTTCTCCTGCTTTCAACGCGGCGCGTCCTCGTCTTCCTCCCTTGACATTGCCTCCCTTCTTCTCGCCTCTCCATTCTTCCCTTCCTCCCCCCGCCCGCGTCCCTCACCACCTATCCCATACGTGCTTCCCCCCCTCCAGATCAATCACCGACGGGCAACGCTCCTCAAACACCCGGGCCAGCCCCGGGCGGTGGCAAGCTTTCGGAGTAAGCCTTTCTCAATTTTCTCCCCTTGATTTGGAGACCTCTTTTCTGCATCCCTCAGTGTCCATGTCCCAGACCCTCCCTCTCCCTCCCTCTCCTTGCCCCACCCTCCGCACCACGCCTTCCCCCTCCTCCCTATGTCGCCGGCCTCTCTTCCTTTCCCCTCAACACGCCCCTTGGGGGTCACACACCTCCTCCTCCCTGCCTCCATTCCCGCGCACAGTCTGTCCTCTGGGCGTGCGGGACGTTCTTCCCTCCTCCTCCTCCTCTTCCTCCTCCTCCCAGACGCGACAACACCTGTCCTCAAGCCATCAGCACACACTACAAGAGCAACCGTTGTCACATCAACCACCGCAAGTACAGCAGCCATCCCACATACAACCGCACTAATAGCTACGACAGCGTTACTGTACATCGAACGAGACAAGAGGAAGCAAGTCGAGATCGTTCAAAGTTGACGGATGTAGTTGCCGGCAAGAAAAAGCAGGCCCGAAAGCTTTTTCTTGACCGGGAGCCGGGGAGTAAGAGCACGAGACGGCTGTTCGTGCATAAAGAAACAACTTCTCTGACATCCTCGTGCTTTTCAAGCAGTTCATATTTTGATGTCGTAAGCCCATCCCAGCTAACTAGAGTCTATCATCTTCAGATCTGTTATCTCCCCCTCACACCTCCTCTTTCCCCCCATTAAAGTCTGCGACCCTCATGTCACTCTCGAACTTTCG